CACCACCTACAAATAGTCCTGGCGTGGATGTTCCCAACGGTACCAGAGCGCTGCTGATTTCAAACTTTCCCTCTTTATTGCAGCTCACTGACTGTCTGAAATCATCCAAACTGGGATTAAAATTAAACATTTTAATGCAATTTCACTAAATTAAGATGTGCACCAAAGGAAACCTGATTTGATCTGGGCTGTTGAATTAAACGCGTGAACGTACCATGACATCACATACTATACCATACCATAGTATACCATGGTAAACCAGTTTCAACTGTAAATCGCAGCTGGTAGGTATCTGGAGAAAGTCTCGACACCAGGGGGCGCAGATGAAAACGATATGCAGACAGACGAGGACAAGTCAATCGGCAGAGACAGTTCGCAGCTCGGTTCTTTGACAGAAACAAAAGAGCCCCGGGCACAGTAAGAGGGGACAGAAGGAGGGAAGGAAGACGTAGGAGACGAGATGCTCATCAACGACACTCACATCCTATTTGCCTTCCTTAAACGTACTTTGGTGGAATCCAGGCCCGTAAACAGCTGAAGGGCAAGAGCCTGGAGCTGACAGAAGGGCAGGAGGCAGCAGTTTATCTGTGAGTGGTGCTCCAGGTGACAAGAGGTGACGCTGAGGCTCCAAAAGGCATAACCTGTGGGCTATTAAACCTCCATCACACGTAAAGGGGGAAGAAATAGATGAGCTGGACCAGATAAGGGCAGTAAATCAAGGTGCCGAGGAAATTTAAGTTCAAGAAAAAGAAGAAGAAACTAAAGAAGACAAATAATCGAGGACAGTGAAGGATGAGGGAAAAAAAAGAACCACAGAGACGTATGAAGAAGAGACGAGGATACGAGTCACCCACAGTCGAGGGGGAGGGAGGGACGACAGAGAGCGAGGGGGAAGGAAAGAACTCGTAAAATGTTAGATTCACTGTCAGGTCAAAGGTTAGCTCATGGCTCTGTTTGCACAAACATTATGCCATAAATTCATGGACAGGAAGATGGAATTATTGCATTACAAATTACAACCAAACTCTTAGAAGCACTAAAAAAGTACTGCAGTGTTTTTAGGGGGAAAAGTACATTTTCTCCAGTGGCATTTTTGAAAATGCATCTAATTGATTTATTTGAAGATCATTGTTTCTTGGCTTGGTCTCAAACCCAGCTGAGGACGTGGTGTTCGTGGTAATCGCTTGTGTTCCCGTTATAGAACGTGGCCTTGAAGATAAAAGCAAAACAATCAATAAAGCAGTAGAAATGAGATGTTTGTGTTTCTGTATCAGCGCAGGAGTCTTTGTCTTTCAGTAATAACGTGAAAAATGTTGCACTCAGTGTCAGAGTTTTAGATAATGATTCCCTTCGTCACATCTTATTGCTGCAAATGCCACAGAAAATGACAGACGCCGCGGTGTCGGGTTCTTCGAGCACTTCCATTCATGCATGGCTGCACACACACACACACACACACACACACTCATATTTGTTCCCTTCCATTCAGTGGCTGTTCCTTTGACATATTTCCTATAGCCCACGCTCCAGGGTCACCTACAGACGGCTGCATCTTATTGTGAAACTTTTGATGAATGCTCTCACTCTTTGTTGCTCCACTTAGTCACCTCCTGGAGCCGGCCGTGGTTTGGCTCATATATCTGACCATTAAAGCCCTATTGATACAACATCGTGGGAACACGTCAGAGCTGTTTGTTGGCGCCAAGGCTGCTGTTTTTTGTTTTGTTTTGTTTTTCGTAGAAATTAAAATATTGCGTATCCTTGTTTTGATGAAATTTTCGAAGCTCAGCCTCCCGTGATCTGAAGAGCGACGCCTCTTGAATGATAAAAGCGTGCCGGCATGAGCGGAATGATGAGTGAAGGAACAGTCGGGCTTTAACGGTCTCTCAGGAGTCACGTTATGACCGGGATGAGACGAAAACCTGGAGCACAACAGGAAACAGAAATACCACAGAGGTCCAAAGTCCCCGAGAAACCACCAGGAGGCTCAAGAGCAAAGCTGCGGTGTTTCCTTTGGTTTTTAAACAACAATTATGATTGCTGGCAATCTCGCCGTGAGCGGTCCGGGCCGGTCCCTGCAGCAGGTGACAGAATCCAGCTGGAACCACCACCAGAGAACCATTCAGAGCTGCAAATAATCACCCACTCTGAGGAGGAGGAGGAGGAGGAGGTGGGGGGGGCAGATAGGAAACAAACAGACAGGAAACGATGACTCTGCAGATGTAACGACTAAAGCTATTGTTCAGACATACATGAGCAAAAACAAGCCGTAATGACAGACCTGTTGGACTGAAGCTGCAGAGTCAGTGTCTGTGTTGCATCAGCGACCCAGAATTCATTGCGGTACAACGGTGGTGTAGATTCAACAGTTACAAATACGACCTTGGATTACGTGGTAAATTTAGAAACAATAAAAATACCTCCTGGCCTCAGGACAGGTTTTGATCATGGACTCAGTATCAGATTGACCATGAGATGGCGACCATGAGACGGCGGCTCAGACGGATCGGTACTTCAGGAGGTGAGGCGCAGTTGTTTGGAACGCAGCAAGAAATCCATGGTTTCAAATTGAGACCAAAGTTTTCGATGGTGCGTTTGAGGTCCGGTCGGATCAACACGATTGAGTTTGTGTGGAATCAATGCAGTCGGTACTTGTGTCTGACCAGTTCAAAGCTGACGTAGGAACTTCTGTTTGGTCAATAGGTGGCGGCACTAAATACTGCCCCAGTGGACACACTCTAACACCTGTTTTACGTTGTTTATTGTTCACGTTAGCGATGGAGTGACGGTCTGAGGTCGTCTGTTGTTAATATCGTGACTGTGCGCTGATGTTCATCTAATGAGAGCAGCCGGGGACAGAAAGCAATGATCCCAGAACGGGAGTGTTCTAATAAGCTGCAAATGAAAGTCTCTCCCCAGCAGGAGAACTGCAACATTAGTTTACCTCTGGGCAACAGAGGAGGAGGAGGAGGAGGAGGAGGAGGAGGAGGAGGAGGAGACAATATCTTCTTCTCCCATGGAAGGTCCTGACTGGGCCCCGTTCCAATTTACTTTGAGGTCGTTTGGAAAGAACACGTAGTCTCCAAAAAACAGAAAACAACAGGATCATGGAGGAAACATTGATGGAAAAAAAAGGAAAATCTGCAGGAAGAGAATGATTTTCTTGGCTGCTTTTTCTGTTAAAAACATGTTGAAGGAAGACTTTGTTTATACAATATTTAATTTCACGTTAGTGAAGCAGCATTAGAGACACAAATTAAAACTACAAAACGTATAATATGTATACATATATATTGTATTACATATTATACTTAAATATGCAAATAGAACACTTATTATATTTAACTGATCCTAGTACTATCTACTGTGTGCCCATAAAGTACTTTGTTATTTTGCATTTAATACCAAATTCTATATTGAATTGGATTATATCTAACTAAATCTAAAAAAAAAAAATCTAAATTAAAAAACAAATGTTTGTTTTTTTTATTGTGACCCACATGCTCTCTCTCAGTGGACCTCACTCCCCCCGTTGAAGACCTTTAAATCGTTCAGTCTTGTCTTGTATACTACATTTTAACAAAGCATGCTTTGACTATTGTCGCTGAACATTATTTTGGCTGCGACACAGTTGACCCAGATGGGTCTTTGGAATTTAGGATGTCGTCTGGAAAACAAATTGCTTGCGGGGATTTATATGCAGGCGACTTTCTGCGGGTACTT